TTTTTTTGGGAGGGGAAGTTCCCCCCCCCTGTTGCTCTTTTTTTTTTTTTTTTTCTTAAATAAAAGACCAGAAAAGAAAAAAAACAACGAAACAAAAAGTCGAAACCAAAAGGCATTGCAGCACTGTGACGGGCCGTATCTGCTGCGGTGCCTGGGGCGGGTGCTCCCAGCGGTTTGGGGGTCAGCCCCAGTGGGCGCGGGGTCTGCTGGGGGGAGGACACACACTGCCAGGGTTCTGGGGGCATGGCTCAGCTTTGACCCCCACCTAAGCTCTGAGCACTTTGGGGTCAAAGCTGTGGATTTGGGGCTCCTTCCTCCAAAATCCTCCCCTCTTGGGCAGCCTCATCAAAGACCGGCAATGCTGCAGCCCCATTCTCGCTGGCCCCTGTGCCTCAGTTTGCCTGGCAGGCAAGCAGCAGTCCGTGGTGGTGTGCGGTGTTTCGAAAGCCTCTTTAAAGAGTTTATCAATTTTAGGCTATGAAAATTTCTCCCCCGAGTGGCCTTAAAACTTACCTGACAGATCTATGCTGATTTTATATATACATATACACATACATATGGGGGAATTGAGATGTGCTCAAAGGCCAGGCGGATGATGCAGTTAGGTTTTACTGTGCCCTGTTATCTAAAGGACCCAGGTCTGGCTGAACGAGCCGCTGAGCTGATAGCGGCTCTGAGCAGTAAAATTAATATAGCCGACTTCCCTGCTTGGAACTGCCAAACCTCCTCGTTAAATTAACATATATGAATATTTGTTTAAAAAAAAAGGAAGAAAAGGACGGGGGAAAGGTAAGAAAAGTGTATAATAAAATTTTATAATTGTAATAAGACACGGCAGCGCCCGACTCCTGGTCCATGAGCGCGTCCGGGGGCTGTGAAGTTGGAAGGCGGTGGGGGAGGACACAGACATGCAGGGGTCAGGGACAAAGTAGCTTGGCTGGACTTGGCGTGGAGTGTCCCTGTGGCTGAGCCTCCACCAGATTTTGCTCCCCTTCCTCTGCCTGCTTTCCGCCAGCCCCCCTGAGCAGCGTTGGCTGCTCGCCCGTCGTCTCCTCCTGGTGCTCGGTGGCTGTAGCCGGGCCCAAGGTTTGACACCAAGCATCAGTGGCGGTTTTCCAGCCCATCACTTCCCATTTCAGCTGACAGAGCCAGCTCGGATCTCCATGAGCCTTTGGGAAGGCAGCGCGCATGGACCAGAGGAGCCCGAGCTGTTTGCAGGGGCTGATGATGCTCTCATGCCCGAGCATCCCCAGCCCGTGTCCTAAGAGTGGCTCTCCCCACCCAGGCACCTCCATCCAGGCACTTCACCCCTGCCAGCACCGCTGCCGCCCTGCAGCTGG